GTGTGTTAACATTTAAAGAGATATTAATGTATAGTATTATAGTCTAGCATTATAATATGCATATATATACACATATGTATATACATGCACAAATGAAGTATATATAGTATATAGTTATGATAGATAACTGGTAAATATTATATATAACTTGTAATGTTGTATATAGCTGTTATATATAAATGGCATTATGGTAAACAGCTTAATGTAATATGCCATTATAGTATACTAAATTTGTATAGTTTTAGTCTCCAATGTATAGTGGGTTTCAATTCTATGTCAGCCTGCAGAATTATTCAAATACCTCATTCTCATCCTCCCATGGGAACAAAGGATAATCTTACCCTCTTGATGCTACAGTGTGCCATTCAAAAATATTCATGATCATGGATTTAGGAAAGATTCTATGATGTGACAATACAAGCACTAGGAACAAAGAAAAAATATGTAATTTAGACTGCATTGAAATTTTAAACTTGTGTTTCAAAGGACACCATACCAGCAAGACATTGAAAAGCATATGGCCATACCAGCCTGAATGCACCTAATCTTTTTTGATCTCAGTTCCTACCAGGATTGGGTCTGGTTATTACTTGTATGAGAGTAATACTGGGAATACCGTGTGCTGTACACTTTAAAAAAAGAAAAGGGGCCAAGTGCATTTGCTTATACCTGTAATCCCAGCACTTTGGGAGGCTGAGGCGGGTGGATTGCTTGAGCTCAGCAATCTAAGTTCAAGACCGGCCTCAAGAACATGGTAAAACCCTGTCTCTACCAAAAATACAAACAATTACCTGGGGGTGGTGGTACGCACCTTTGGTCCCAGCTACTTATGAGGCTGAGGTAGGAGGATCGTTTGAGCCTGGAAGGTGGAAGTTGCAGTGAGCTGAGATGATGCCACTGCACTCCACCCTGGGTGACAGAGTGAGACTGTCTCAAAACAAGGAAGAGAAACTTTTTCTTTTTTTTTTTTGAGACGCAGTTTTGCTCTTGTTGCCCAGGCTGGAGTGCAATGGTGCAATCTTGGCTCACCGCAACCTCTACTTCCCGTGTTCAAGTGATTCTCCTGCCTCAGCCTCCCGAGTAGCTGGGATTACAGACATGCGCCACCACACCCAGCTAATTTTGTATTTTTAAGTAGATACTAAAAATACAAAATTATACTGTGTTGGTCAGGCTGGTCTCGAACTCCCAACCTCAGGTGATCTGCCCGCCCAGGCCTCCCAAAGTGCTGGGATTACAGGGGTGAGCCACCGTGCCCAGTCAAGGAAGAGAAACTTGATGAATTATCATGGGTTGAGGAAATGGAATTTGATTGAGTATCAAGTTTTGGGGGGATTCTCCCTGAACTCCCTTAGAAGGATTTTTGATGTAACTGGACCCTGCATGAGAAGGACAAAATGGGTCAAGAAGAGGGCCTGAGCAGCCTGACTCACCTTTGGTCAAGGAAGGAAGGAGTCCGTAAGACTCCCACAACTGACTCTTTCTAGGAATGACAATCCCTAAATATATAGTTCCGTCATTATATTCCAAAATACCTGCTTTCCCTCCCTGAAGGACGTCTTCAATTATGGATCCACCCTGACATATTTGAAAGAGCTGCAGGATTTTAATCGTTTTTTATTTTCCCACAGAGCCATATATGACTGTATTTAAAATTGTATTATGTTGGCTGGGTACGTTGGCTCACGTCTGTAATCCCAGCACTTTGGGAGGCCGAGGTGGGTAGATGACGAGGTCAGGAGATCGAGACCATCCTGGCTAACACGGCAAAACCCCATCACTACTAAAATACAAAAAAAAAAATTAGCCGGGCGTGGTGACGGGCACCTGTAGTCCCAGGTACTCAGGAGGCTGAGGCAGGAGAATGGGCGTGAACCTGGGAGGCAAAGCTTGCAGTGAGCTGAGATCATGCCATTGCACTCCAGCCTGGGCAACAAGAGCAAAACTCCATCTCAATAAAACAAAACAAAAAAATCCACAAAAATTAGCCGGGTATGGTGGTGGGCACCTATAATCCCAGCTACTCAGAAGGCTGAGGCAGGACAATTGCTTGAACCCAGGAGGCTGAGGTTGCAGTGAGCCAAGATTGCGCCATTGCACTCCAGCCTGGGTGACAGAGCAAGACTCTGACTAAAAAAAAATAAGTACACCTAATAATTCCTGATGTTAAGCACCTTTTCATGTGTGTTGTGGTCATTTGGATGTATCTTGGAGAAATGTTATTGGAATACATTGGCTATCTTTTTTTTTTTTTTTTTGAGACGGAGTCTCGCTCTCTTGACCCATCTGGAGTGCAATGGCATGATCTTGGCTCACTGCAACCTCCGCCTCCCAAGGGGCTGGGATTACAGGTGTCTACCACCACCTGCAGCTACTTTTTGTGTTTTTAGCGTAGTCAGGGTTTCAGCATGTTGCCAGACTGGTCTCGAACTACTGACCTCCAGTGATCTGCCCGCTTTGCCCTCCCAAAGAGCTGGGATTACAGCTGTGAGCCACTGCACCCAGCCCATTGCCCATGTTTTGGTCAAGTAGTTTTACACTTAGGACAGTATTTTTTTAGACGGAGTCTCGTTCTGTCACCAGGCTAGAGTGCAGTGACCCGATCTCGGCTTACTGCAACCTCCGCCTCCCAGGTTCAAGCAATTCTTTTGCCTCAGCCTCCTGAGGAGCTGGGACTACAGGTGTGCGCCACCATGCCCAGCTAATTTTTGTTTTTTTTTTTTTTTTTTTTTTTTGAGACGGAGTCTTGCTCTGTCGCCCAGGCTGGAGTGCAGTGGCGCGATCTCCGCTCACTGCAAGCTCCGCCTCCCAGGTTCACGCCATTCTCCTGCCTCAGCCTCCCGAGTAGCTGGGACTACAGGCGCCCGCTACCTCGCCTGGCTAGTTTTTTGTATTTTTTTAGTAGAGACGGGGTTTCACCGTGTTAGCCAGGATGGTCTCGATCTCCTGACCTCGTGATCCGCCCGTCTCGGCCTCCCAAAGTGCTGGGATTACAGGCTTGAGCCACTGCGCCCGGCCTAATTTTTGTATTTTTAATAGAGACAGGGTTTCACTGTGTTAGCCAGGATGGTCTCGATCTCCTGACCTCGTGAGCCACCTGCCTTGACCTCCCAAAGTGAATTTATTATTTTTAATTACTATAAAGTAAAATTACATTTTACTAGCTTAAGCAATTTTAAGTGTACAGTTAATTAGACAACTCTGTATAACTTATCTATGATGAATCATACTCTGTTGTGTGTGTGTGTGTGTGTGTGTGAGACTGCCATTGTGTAATTTCCATAGCGTCGTGAATTTTCATGCATAAAGCATGGGACAGGGTGTTATTTTCTAAGATTAAATAATATTTCATTGTATTTAGATGCCTACCACATTTTTGTATGCATACAACCATCAGTGGATATGTGGATGGATCCAGCTCTTGGCCATTGTCAACAGTGGTTTTCAAATATGTCTCCATGACCTGGTTTTCTTTTTTTTTTTTTTTTTTTTTATTCGGTATAAATAGACCTACAAGTCAGCCACTGGAAGATATGGTAATTTTGTTGGTTTTTGAGACTGAGTCTTACTCTGTCACCCAGGCTGCACCGGAGTGCAGTGGCGCAATCTTGGCTCACTACAGCCTCTGCCTGTCAGATTCCAGCGATTCTCCTGCCTCAGCCTCCCAAGTAGCTGGGATTACAGGTGTGCGCCACGACACCCGGCTAATTTTTGTATTTTTAGTAGAGACGGGGTTTTGCCATTTTTGCCAGGCTGGTCCCAAACCCCTGACCTCAGGTGATCTGCCCTGCTTTGCCTCCCAAAGTGCTGGGATTATAGGCATGAGCCACCTTTCCTGGCCGTAATTTTGTTATTTTTAGAGGCACTATCATACTATTTTCCAGAAAGGCTGAACCACTAATAATCCTTGAGACAGAGCACATGTTTGCCTTCTCCCTCTGTGAATGGTGGCCTCTCATAAGCAAAAGTTTGTTTTGTTTTGTTTTTGTTTTTGTTTTCAGACAGAGTCTCGCTCTGTCTCCATGCTAGAGTACATAGAGTGGCACGATCTCAGCTCACTGAACCTCCACCTCCTGGGTTCAAGTGATTCTCGTGCCTCAGTCTCCCAAGTAGCTGGCATTAGAGGTATGTTCTACCACACCCAGCTAATTTTCTTATTTTTAGTAGAGACGGGTTTCACCATGTTGCCCAGGCTGGTCTCAAACTCCTGGTTTCAAGTGATTTACCCACCTCAGCCTCCAATAGTGCTGGGATTACAGGCATGAGCCACCACACCTGTTCACACAAACGTTTTTATGTTTGATAAATATTTGCCTTTTTGTTACGATTGGGCACCCTGGGGTTTTACTTCTCAACCTTGTTGACATTCAGCTATGAGCAATTTGGTTACAATTTAGGCTTTACTACCCAAGCAGAGATCCCCAGAATCGCTTCTTCTTATGCGTTCGGTTTTTTGTTTTTGTTTTTGTTTTCGTTTTTTTAGCTATTTATAACTGTCTTATTAGTTAGATTGATGGACCCCTCACAAAATCCAGTTGTTTGTTTCTGTCATTGGTATTTAGAACAAAATCTACTTCCTAGATATCATCAAATTTTAAACTTGGGAACAGACATTTTCAAGGATACACAGCCTCAAGACTCCTTATGTTAACTTTTTTCTGCATGCGAATTCACAGGACTCGGTTACGGCAGGCACTACAGACCCACACTACAAACAGACATTAGGGGCAGCCCAGACAGCGCACCTTTTTATGTGGATTCACCGGAAACTCACACATTTTCCTGTTCTGCTGTTGCTTTACCCCATGGTTAAATTGTAGCATCAGAATTGCTTTATGGAAGAAAGTGAGTATAGGCAGAGAGTAAGAGGTCTGATGTCCAAGTAATGAAATCTTCGGAGTCCATAGCATTGTGAGAACTTCTTAGGAATAGGGTATAGATGTCCAGTGTTATCAGTCTCACCCATCCTTCTCTACATATGTGGGATGTTTCAGGACTCAATGACCTTTGAGGATGTGGCTGTGAACTTCACTCCAGAAGAGTGGGCTTTGCTGGATCCTTCCCAAAAGAATCTCTACCAAGAAGTGATGCAAGAAACCTTAAGGAACCTGGCCTCTATAGGTAAGGGTGACAACATTATTCATTCAGTGAATTAGAGAAGTGTTTCTCATTCATCAGTTCTGTTGAGTAATTTGGAATATGGACAGGCAATACTTTGATGAATAAATGAGGAATGGTTGCAGTGTATCATAAACATAGAATCAAATAATTATTTCATAATTTTATACTAATTCAGGCCTATGTATCTGTGTCTGTATTTTAGGGAAGAAATGGAAAGACCAGAACATTGAAAATGAGTACAAAAATCCCAGGAGCAACCAAAGGTAATCTGCACTCACAAGACAAAGCACTGTCTCTAGAAAATTTTAGAATGGGAGGAAATGTTAAAAAGAAGGAAACAAACAAAAAAGCTGAGTTCCATTGTATTTATTCTTAGAATATTTTCTCTAAAAACATGCATTTATTTGTGACATAGGCATAAGCCATGGTGTCCAAGCCTATAATCAGCCCTTTGGGAGGGGGAGGTTCAGACCAGAGTATTGCATGAGCCCAGGAGTCAGGCTACACTGAGCCATGATGACATCATTGGACTGTAGCTTGGGCAACAGGGCAAGATTCTCACTCAGAAACAAAATTAAAAGACAAAGAGGTTTTGTATTTGTACAGTAGTTTACATGGAAATAGTATTAAGCCCCATATCAATATTTTTTGATAATAGATATGGCTGGGCCATCTTGTAGACCATGTGGTCCATTCATGTTCAAACAATTCAGACAGAGTAGAAAACCCACACTTTGCTGGATCATGTTAAAAATGCAAGTGTAAGACTTGTGAATGACTATAAAGATCACTGATAAACCCATTAAGTGTGCTTTTCATTTTTCACAGAGGTCTTATGGAAGAGAGACTATTTGAAAGTGAAGGTCATCAGCGTGGAGAAATTTTGACCCAGGTTCTGGATGACATGCTGAAGAAGAAAACTGGAGTAGCATCATGTGAAAGGAATGTGTGTGAGGTCAGCATGGGTCATTTATCCCTTAATAAGCACACCAGAGCTGACACTGGACACAAGCCATATGAGTATCAGGAATATGGACAGAAGCTATATAAATGTACATACTGTAAGAAAGCCTTCAGCTACCTCCCCTACTTTCGCAGACATGTAATTGCACACACTGGAGAAAAACTCTATGAATGTAAGGATTCTGGGAAGGCATTTAGTTTTTCCATTTCTTTTCATAGACATAAAAGAGCTCACTCTGGAGGGAATCCCTATGAATGTAAACAATCTGGAAAACCCTTGGGATGCACCTCAGAACTTCAAATGCATGCAAGGACTCACAGTGTAGAGAAACCTTACAAATGTAAGAAATGTGAAAAAGCATTTAATAACGTATCTTCCTTTCAAATACATGAAAGAATGCACAGAGGAGGGAAGCATCATGCATGTAAGGGTTCTGGGAAGACATACCGTTTTTTTGGTTTCTATCACAGACATAGAATGCTTCACGCTGGCGGGAAATTTTATGGATGTAAGAAATGTGGGAAAGCCTTTATTAGTTTCTGTGCCTTTCGATACCATCAAAGGACTCACACTAAAGAGAAATCCTATGCACGTAAACAATGTGGGAAAGCCTATATTTCTTCCATTTCTTTTCGATATCATCAATTGAGTCACACTGGAGTGAAACACTACGAGTGTAAGCAGTGTGGCAAAGGCTTCAGTTTGCCCAATTCCATTCGGTGTCATGAAATGACTGACACTGGAGAGAAACCCTATAAATGTAAGCAATGTGGGAAAGCTTTCAGATGTGCCTCAAGCCTCCAGATATATGGAAGGACTCACACTGGGGAGAAACCCTATGAATGTAAACAGTGTGGTAAAGTCTATCGTTATTGGAGTGGCCTTCGAGTACATGAACTAACTCACATTGGAAAAAAGCCTTATGAATGTAAGGAATGTGGGAAATCATTCTATAGTTCCGGTTTCCTTCTAAATCATAAAAGGATCCACACTACGGAGAAACCTTATGAATGCAAGGAATGTGGGAAAGCATTTGGTAATCCCATATCCTTTCAAAAACATGAAAGGAGTCACAGAAAAGAGAAGCCTTATGAATGTAAGGAATGTGGGAAGGTATTCAGTTTTTCTAGTTCCCATCGGAGACATGAAAGGACACACACTGAAAAACCCTATGAATGTAAACAACGTGGGAAAGGATCTTTTCATAGAAGCTGTCCTAGGCACATGAAGATACACACTGGAGAGATACTTCATAAACGTAAGATTCGTGGAAAAGTCTTTCATTCTCCCAGTTCATTTCAAACACGTGAAAGATCTCACACTAGAGAAAAATGCTATAAATGCAAGCAATGTGGAAAACCCTTCATTTATTTCAATGCCTTTCAACATCATCAAAGGAGCCACACTGGAGAGAACCCCTATGAGTGTAAGCAATGTGGGAAAGCCTATATTTCTTCCACTGCTTTTCAGTGTCATGAATTGAGTCACACTGGAGCAAAACGCTATAAGTGTAAACAATGTGGCAAAGGCTTCAATTTGCCCAGTTCCATTCGATATCATGAAATGACTCACACTGGAGAGAAACCCTATGAATGTAAGCAATGTGGGAGAGCTTTCAGATCTGCCTCGCACCTTCGAACACATGGAAGGACTCACACTGGGGAGAAACCCTATGAATGTAAACAGTGTGGTAAAGTCTATCGTTACTGGAGTGGCCTTCGAATACATGAACTAACTCATATTGGAAAAAAGCCTTATGAATTTAAGAACTGTGGGAAATCATTCTATAGTTCCAATTTCTTTCAAAATCATAAAAGGGTCCACACTAGAGTGAAGACATATGAATGCAGGGAATGTGGGAAAGCATTTGATAATCCTACATCCTTTCAAAAGCATGAAGGGAGTCACAGAAAAGAGAAGCCTTATGAATGTAAGGAATGTGGGAAGGTATTTGGTTTTTCCAGTTCCCTTCGGAGACATGAAAGGACACACATAGGTAAAAAACGCTATGAACATAAACAACGTGGCAAAGGATTTTCTCATCTTAGAAGCTTTTCTAGACACATGAATACTGGAGAGAGATCCCATAAATCTAAGATATGTGGAAAAGTCTTTCATTCTCCCAGTTCATTTCAAGCACGTGAAAAATCTCACACTAGAGAGAAACGCTATAAATGCAAGCAATGTAGGAAAGCCTTCATTTATTTCAGTGCCTTTCAACGTCATCAAGGGAGTCACACCGGAAAGAAGCCCCATGAATGTAAGCAATGTGGGAAAGCCTATGTTTCTCCCATTTCTTTTCGATATCATCAGTTGAGTCACACTGAAGCGAAACGCTATGAGTGTAAGCAGTGTGGCAAAGGCTTTAATTTACCCAGTTCCATTCGATATCATGAAATGACTCACACTGGAGAGAAACCCTATGAGTGTAAGCAATGTGGGAAATCTTTCAGATGTGCCTCAAGCCTCCGAATACATGGAAGGACTCACACTGGGGAGAAACCCTATGAATGTAAACAGTGTGGTAAAGTCTATCGTTATTGGAGTAGCCTTCGAGTACATGAACTAACTCATACTGGAAAAAAGCCTTACGAATGTAAGGAAAGTGGGAAATCATTCTATGGTGCTGGTTCCTTTCTACGTCATAAAAAGAAACTACACTAGGGAGAAGCCTTATGAATGTAAGGAATGTGGGAAGGTATTCAGTTTTTCTTGTTCCCTTTGTAGACATGAAAGGACACACACTGGCAAAAAGCCCTATGAATAAACAACGTGGGAAAGGATTTTTCATATCTTCCATGGAGCTTTGAATGCAAGAAAAGATACACTACAGAGAAATGCTAAATGTAAGGGGTGTATACAAGCATTTAGTAATTTCTCTTCCTTACTTATACATGGAAGGATGCACACTGGAGAGAAGCCATATGAATGTAAGAATTGTGGGAAAGCCTTCACATCTGCCAAGAACCTTCAAAATCGTGGAAGGACAGACACCAGAGAGAAACCATGTGAATGCAAGCAATGTGGCAAAGCTTTCATTTGTTCCAGTTCATGTCAGCGACATGAAGAGATACATTCTGTTAATATGCATTCAATTATCCCCATTCCTTTGAAACACAGAAAAAGAGTAGGGAAAGAACCTGTGAGATAATTTATTTCTGAGTTGAGAAGAGCTACCGGTGAATGGACAATTAAATCTGGATGTATTTAGATATTTAGATGGTTCTGATACAATTCATCTATAGCCAATCTTTTTTTTTTTAATTTTTTCATTTTTTAGATGGAGTCTTGCTCTGTTGCCCAGGCTGGAGTGCAGTGGCATGATTTCAGCTCACTGCAACCTCTGCCCCCCGGGTTCAAGCAATTCTTCTGCCTCAGCCTCCCAAGTAGCTGGGATTACAGGCAACCGCCATCACGCCTGGCTAATTTTAGAGATGGGGTTTCACCATGTTGGCCAGGCTGGTCTCAAACTCCTGATCTCAAGTGATCCACCCACCTCGGCCTCCCAAAGTGCTGGAATTATAGGTGTGAGCCACTGCACCCTGCCACTTATAGCCAATCTTAATAAGATTTCATAGGCACAGACAAGGAAGGTGTCAGTCACATATTAGAGGCACCACACAGGGAGAGCAGTGTGTGGCCACCTGCTTCAGCCCATTTTTTCTGATTCTCTTGCTTGCAAATTAAGAGTATTCTCCAAATCCTTGACTGTCCTTTTCTCAGAGTCGTAGTTCTCCAGAGACGTTGCCAGATGATTCACATTAAAGGTACATTTCCAGTTGGCTTTTTTATTTCAGATACTAGTAAATGATTACCAGAGAACTAATTCAAACTGTCATGGTTGGAAATACTCTGATGGTCAACTCCTTAATCTATAGAGTGAGTTAAGGTCTATACTCTTTTGCAAGCATTGTTCTAGTGGCAGTGACCCTGTTCATGATTCAGCCTGACATTTACTATGCTTCCCTGAAAACCAACTAGATGGGAGCTTGTTTCTCTCCTGCATTGTGTAGTGACTGGTGTCACCCAGGACTTTTATGTGAGAAAAAGCACCTTGTTCTTAATCTGGGAATTTTGAGTGTTTTTTGTAATGCCTCAGTTTATTCTTATTTATGGTTGATTATATGTGATTAAGAACACTTGCTGGCCGGGCGCGGTGGCTCAAGCCTGTAATCCCAGCACTTTGGGAGGCCGAGACGGGCGGATCACGAGGTCAGGAGATCGAGACCATTCTGGCTGACACGGTGAAACCCCGTCTCTACTAAAAAATACAAAAAACTAGCCGGGCGAGGTGGCGGGCGCCTGTAGTCCCAGCTACTCGGGAGGCTGAGGC